TGTGGAGGGCAGTGTCACTGGCCCTCATATGTGGGATCCGAACCGGGGCCCTCTGGCGTCCCAAGCCAGCTCTTAACCATCATGCCACTCGGCCGGCCCTGATGAGCTTTTTTTTAAATAGCAGTTCTTTAATATGGCTGTTGGGAGGCCATTCTCCATGAGGTTTCTGCACATTATACGTGAGCTTTAGTTCTGGACGGTCTTTTCAAGGATGTTAGTAGAGCAAGTGGCCTTGAAAGACAGACAATGGCTCCTTCTGGCACAGAGTGCAGGTGTGTTTCCTGACCAGGAGAGTGAAAGTCAGGTCTCTTCCACAGCAAAGAGTGGGCAGATCTGACAGCACCCCCTTTAGAAGCCTGGGGATTCCCAAGCTCAGAGTTCCACAGCTGTGATCAAAGCCTGATCCACCTGGGTCGCTGCGCATCCCCCAGGTGACCTGGGGAGCTAAGGGAACCAATGCAAATGTGAAGCTTGGGCTGCGGCTGTGCAGTGAGATTCAGTCCTTGGCTGCTGACCCACCACCTGAACCTGTGGCAGGCTAATTTGTCAACTTGCAAAGGGGGTAAAAATCTTAGCGTCTCTAAATTCTTGACAATGACTGTGCTTCAGATAAGGAAAGGTCAAAATTGGCTCCTAAGAATCCTGAGACTCTGGATGTGAAAAGGCTTAAATTTAATTGTAATACTGATGAAAAAAGGGGATAATTATATGAATAAATGTATTTCTGCTCTATTGCAAGGAAATGCTATGTATATTTTAACATAGTAATTCTTCCTTCCCCTCAATCAGCTGTTATTATTAAATTAACAGTTTGTCTTATAATAGAAAAGATGTATTATATTTGCATCTCCTGCTTACCAAAATAGATTTCTGCCCAAGATGCCAGAAAGTGCAGAATTGAAGCTAACAGCTAATCATGGAACATTTACTAAGCTGGATTCTGACAAATTGTTTTCCTCCTTTCAATTTCATCCCAATTTTCTGTTTCATTAACCTTATTGTTTACATGTTTGTTCTCATAAGCTGCTACAAAAGGAAGTACGTAAGTCTCGCTAATAAAGGAGAAACTTTTTAATTCATCGGTAGAACGTAAGGTTTTGGTTTTGTTTGGGTACAGGTCACTTGACTGAATATCTCACATGGGCCTTCGCCAGGAGACACCGCACAGCACGTCGCACGTGACTTTGATGAGGTTTTTGCAGCAGAGGGAAACTGCTATCTAGTTCTTAGTAAAAACAGTTTCCTTGGGAGCTACCCAACAGACAGGTCACGGTCGTCCTCTGACAGAAACACAGATGTCTGACATTCCACACTGACGTCAGGAGACGGCGTGTGGTAGCCCCTTCAGCATCCTCACTGTCACATACCCCAAACTGGCCATGGCTCTATTTTAAATAGGCAAATAAGAAGAAAGGACACTTACTTCACCGTTGCTTGAGCATNGATAACTCCTACTCAAAATTCTCAGGATAAAATTTTATTCACAAATAAATCCACTTTGACTTATAACATTTCAGTTTCCTTACTCTCCCTTTTCTTCTCTGTCTCCAAGGCTAGATAAAGCCAAGACACTAAACACTGTGTGGGGGACCGTGTGATATAATGGAACAAATATGAATTTCAGACTAGGCTCTAATGCTTACTAGCAATATGGATGTGAGTCAGGTCTCTCTCTCTCTCTCTCTCTCTTTTTTTTTTTTTTTTGTGTGCCTCCTTAGCACCTCAGCTTCTGGGCTGGAATCCTTATACCTGCATTATATTGGGTTGTCGGAAAAGTCATGACATATTTTTTCTGTTTTTCATTGCAAAAATGTGTCATGACTTTTCTGATAACCCAATAGTTACTGGGAAAATTACATAGGCTGTTCTACATAATGGATCTAGCAGGGACTCTGGCAGAGGGGCATGTGACACAGTTTGCTTTATCTCCCGTCTCTCTCCACCCTTTCTGCTTCTGTAATTCTGCAAACCAGGGGACAGGGTCCTAAATGTCACCTGCCAAGTAACAGGGCACACAATTTATTGGGCTACAATGGGGAGCTATTGGCAAACTGCTCAAACATTTCTAGTCTATGATTAACCAAATCATTCTTTATACCTCAAAATTTATAAGCTGAAATAATTAACAATTCCCTAAGAGCAACATAAGAAAATAAAATTATCACTAAATATTTAGCATCTAAAAGCAAATGTCATGGTGTGTTTCTGTAAATCTAGCATAAAAAAAAACCAAAAGCAGTCATCTAAAGCTTGTTTAAAATGCACAAATGCAGGTTTTAGCATACCTTTGTGTCAAATGTAGTAATGATTATCAAGTTTGATATAAAACTGAAGCCAGTATTTCTAACCTTTTCAAAAACTAAAAGCAAAATAGGCTTTATATTAAGCTTAAGGAACTTTTGTTTTTAAGATTTCATTCATTTATTAGATTTTAGTTTAACACTAGCATTGGAATGACTTCAATGGCTTTTAAAAAAATTAACAGTATAATAGTTGCACAAATAATAATGAGAAAATGTTTTGTTTGCTCCCAGTTAATCTGAAAGGGGAACTTACTTTTGTTTTGACAAGGAAGTATTCCTGTTACAATTCAGCTGTGATGTAGTCATATTTCTGATACCTGTTTAAGGAAAAATGTAAACATTTCAATAGAATAAATCATTGTCCTAAGCATCTTGAACTCTATGTAAAGAAACAGACTATGGGCTCTGCTGCCCTTTCATACAGTTTTTGGACTGAATCCATCTCTTGAGGGGTTCTTCCTCGGGGCAGTAGCTCTGACTGTAGCTTNTTTTATTTATTTTTTATTAGTTTCAGGTGTGCAAAACAATGTAATAGTACTACAGTGCTTCACTTTTTTTCCTACTGGCTGAGGTCACACAAGGGCTGTGCTTCAGTCAAAAGCAAACGTTTATGATCAGCCAACTGACTTTCACATAGCTTGGGGCAGATTTAAAATCAGGACTTTGAGATACTAATTCGAATCATGAGAGCAGGCACTGGTCAGTGAGTCCCCAAAGGCAGTCCCACCCGCACTGTGCCCTCCACCTGCCTCCCCTGTCCCCCACCAACAAATGCATGCGCATGCGCACTCACGTATGCGTACTCATACTTGGTGGAGAGCTTTGACCTTGGAAAGGTAGGGCTGGCCACAGTCTGGGGTGGAGGGGTGGGCATGAAACCAATTCCAGTTAATGAAACATTATGGGGAAGGCTTCTGCTCTGGGAGCCTCAAAAAAGATGCTTTCCTCTCTGCAAAGGAGACTATCAAAACTCTTTATCCCCCGCAGTACCTGCTTCCTGCCTTCTAACATGTTTGTGTGAAGGTATGCTGCCTGACATTCCGCAGTCTAGACGGGAGGTGGAGAGACTCCCCCAGACCAGGACCTGACATCGCGGAGGGGCTGACCAGTCGCCTTTTGGTTATGTGAGGGAGGGGAAATCCCATTTGAGGGAAGCAGCTAGCAGTGGAGTGGAGTGTTACTTACAGCTTAACATACTGGGCTGGTACAAGAAAGGTCCTGTCTCCACGTGGGCCCGTTGTCCACGATTAAATAAAAAAATCATGCCAACTCAAACTCTATTTCAAATCCACCTTCCCACTCAGCTACTGGTCCAAATTAAGAATATTAAATTAAATAGTAATGTACTTGATTTGGTCAGCCTTAAGTTAATTTTGTTATTTGGGAGGATATAGAATATCTATTTTATTATTCTAAAGAATCACTAAAAGTTATTGCTATTCTTAAAAACGTGTCAAAGATAGAGAATTCTAATTTTTCATGTGAGTTTTCAATATTTACTACAGCCAGGGTGACTAGCTTGAGCAGATGAGTAATGTCCTGAAGGCCCCTGGATAGCAGTGGCTCTTACTTAAGAAGAGTGATTAATTTTCCAATCTGGCTTCCTACAGCATTTAGAACTTCGTGCAACTCCTTAAGAACAGTTCATAACAGTAAGACATATTTGCTTTTTAAAAAAACTTACTATAGTCCAGAAAATGTTATGGGTTTTATATGCGTTATCTTATTTAACCCTTGAACCCAAACACCACAGCCCCGCTCCTAGCACCAGGCCACGACCGCGGGTGCTTACCTTATTCACAACTCTCCTTCTCAGGAACCTCGGCAGCAGGCCCTGCATGGGCTCACTGTCCCACCGCAGCTGCACCCAGCGGAAATGCTGCTGCACCAGCAGGTCAGG